TGATCTTGTGAGCAGCTGCAGCTGTATGCTTTTATTTTTTTATGTCAGGCTGTCGGAGCGCTCCACCTCCTCTGTCTGGTGCTAGTGTGGTGTGAGGCGGACAGTTCACTGCTGGAGCTCAAGGTCCTGATCCAGGGAGCCAACATGAGTCAGTCCCAGACTGAGCTGACTTGATCAAGTCTCTCTCTGCCTCTGGTGAGGATGGGGGTGAAAAATCCTCCACCTCAGACCGTTTAGAGATGTAACTATCTGCGATACTGTGGTCACTCTCCATGTAGCATCAATTATGCTAATGCTAGCTGTCACGTTCTCTCATCCTGGCCACACCTCCGCTCTCTAACCTCCCCCCCTCCCCTACCCACACCACCTCCCCTACCCACTTTGATGCATTTTTCAAATTTCGCCTTGGGGCGGAGTTTATCTTTTCACAGGGGTGGGGGGCAAGATACACTTTAAACAGAGACTTATTTTAAGGTGTTCTGATAAGCTATGTTGAAAAGTCAAATTTATTTTTGATTTATAGTGTTTTCATAACAACTGAAAGAAACACGGTTACTTGATTGTGGTGTAGAATTCAACTGCGTGCCTGGAAAATACATGATACCCTCCCAACGTTTCTTTTTTCAAACATTCTAACAACGTTCTCTCTGTGAGAGTTTCAGTTTCAAATGACAAGGAGTGAGTGACTGTTTGATTGCAGCTGTCTACGAAACATCTTATAGCTCACTTTTTGCTCCCCTGTGAGGGTAGGGTCAAAACGAATGAACTAGTCCAACTATTTTACAAATTGATTTTCAGATTATAAAAAAAAATCTTTGGTTCAGTGCAGCCAGCAGAATGCAGTTTAATACAATCATGTCTTAGATTATAGACTCATCCTTTGGAAAATAAAATTCAGTTCTGTCTACAGTTCTGTCCATCCAAGCATTGAATTTAAACAAGCTGACAATTGGAATGAATTTAATCGTTTTGTTTCTTCATGTGCATCTGAGATGATAAAAAGCAAAAGACAATACTTTTAAAAGAAGCCCCACTTCTTGTGTATTTGTACAGCTGAGGCAATATTTACTCTGTAAAATGAATAACAGATAGAATAACTGTTGGTGGTACAAAATAAAACCTTTGCTGTCTTGTGCATTCTGCCATTTGGACGAATGTTTCCTGATTTGAGCAGAATAAATGTCATTCCCAGCTTCATCCTCTGTCAGAAATTGTGAAACACAAAGTTCACCCTAAAGCGTTGTTCTGCTAAAGCAGAGCTGCTTGTATTCGCTGATTTGCTTTTCATTCTTGAAGGTTTTTTGTGGTAAGATACTAAAAGTAGGTTTTCCTAATACTAAACACTTGCAAATTTAGACATATTTTTAAAAGTTTAAAACCACCCTATTTGCTTGTGCTACAGGGTTATCACCTGCTGTACAGAGCACACTTTTTGCCTATGCTCAGATCATATTTACAGCCTTCTTTGTTGTGTACGTACTTACTTGTGTAATGAGCTCGTTTTGAGAAGCTAGTATTGATTTTTAACTGAAATACTATATTAATCACAGGATCTGAGTGCAGGTGTTGCACAAGCTAATGCGTTTTGCAAGTTTTTACAAATGATGAAGCTTCTGACCTCACATCTAAGGCTTAGTAAAGAAAGTTGGACAACCAAAAAATATGGATTTAGATTTTTTTTTGACTAAACTGTAAACCTTGCAACATGCTAAGATAGTTTAGACTTTTCCTACTAGCTGAAAAATCGAGTAATGGGCATCAAAGTGGAAACCATTTCATGTCATCATGAGTGTCCCTTTGTGTGCCTAAAGATGTGTAGCCACACACTTCTGTGAGCACATTTTATGCGCTCATTATCACAAGTATAACCAAAGAATGTTGCTAACTTTGTTAGCTTTACATTTGTTTAATAGCTTTATCGAAGCTCCGTTAGTTTGTTTTACTTTTCTCCTCAACACTGAGAAGACACTTTTCTTTATGCTTTCATTATTATTTTTACAGTGATGTTCGTTCAAAATACTACCTTAGGTGAACAAACCCGCATAAGAACACTACAACCGTTCACTGCACGTTTCACTTGATTTACTGCAGATTAATTATGTACAATCTAAACACCACCTAAGATAACACTTTAACAGGACTGGGTTTCAGGTATTTACATGGGATATTCATCTTCAGGGAAGTGACCCAAAAACAAAAGACACGAGACACACAAACACAAWAATGTAAAATAAAGTAGTTAGTCTGCCCTCACATAATTAGAAAACCAAGCACAATCCAATGGCTGGGCTGACCAACAAAAGTTAAAAGAAAAAAAACTCTGACAGCATGGTAACAGTGACAGAACTGTAAAAAACACAAAATTACTAAATGCTTACAATATATACTTCAGTCAAACCAATCTCTGAAACAAATTTAAAATACTGCATATGTGTAARGCTAAACAAGCCAACAACTGTGGCAAATCCATCCAGGCATCAACGAGTGTGCTCCTATCTGACAAAATACAATATAAACAAAACATATAGGCCTACCTCTGGCATTGAACTACCCCACGTCCAGGCAATGCCACTTCAACCGTCACTTCACTAAATTTGTGTGGCCTTGTAAAAAAAAAAAAAAAAAACTAAACATCAACATATTCCGAATTGATTTTAAAAATCATTCACTTTAAATAGTCTTCGTCCAAACCTACCACTATCGCACAAACAATGGAACGCATGAGCACAGCAAACACCACCAAGATGGCCACCCACCAGATGCTGGAACTTCAGCAACATCCAGCTTCCCGTTTTTGGAAGCTTAGGCCTGTTACAACGTCACAACTTTGAGAGAAAGAAAACTTAGACGGAATACTGTGAAATTATAGCATAAACTACTCTGAAGTGGTTTTGAACAGAATGATCGAGTTCTAAACAACACAGTCAGGAAACTGTCACATCTTCTGTCTGAAGTAAGCTTGTGAACAGCTGAGTGATGTTTTTTTTTCTTTGTAAGACAGCAAAACTGCATTGGAACTGAACCATGAAAAAGTGCTGGTTTGAAACTCAAAAGTTTCATTATTTTACTACTTCTTTGTTATGTATTTTCCTGACCTGTGTCCATTCATGCATTTTGTCCAGAGCTGCTTGTACAGARATCGGTCAGATGGATTATCCCTTTGGGGAGGGTTTAGTCATCTGTAGATCACTGATGTTCTGTACCTTAAAGTCTGTCTGGAGCTTACAGCTTATGATCTTATTACCAATAGTTAGGCATCCTTCTGCCCTCAGCTGTGTGAGGGCCTGTTGTTGCAATGTGGGTCAGGGCAGCCGTGCAAACCTGTTGACACCATTCCGATTCCATCTGGTAGCATTTGATTAACATTGAGCTTGTGGAATGACCTTAYAGGTGTCATTTTTGGTGAAATAATTTGAAATGGAAATGTTTACTCTAAAGGTTAATTTAGCAGGGGTATTATGGCTTTATTTACACMTTCTGCCATTCCAGGAATCCTGGAGTTCTTCCATCACCAGCTCAAGGATATAATTGAATATGCTGAGCTGAAGACAGACGTCTTCCAGAGTTTAAGGGAGGTGGGAAACGCCATCCTCTTCTGCCTGCTCATTGAGCAAGCTTTGGTAAGACTTKACTGTTCATCAAACCTTATCCTGTTTCTGTCTACCTCAGTCTGTTGTTTTATTTTATTAGCTCCTCTTCTGATTACTCCTATCAGCATGCTTTAGTGATCAGAACAACTAATAAGTAGCTCTAGGTGTTTAAGCTATCAACCTGGGTGAAAGTTTATTCTTGATTTATGGTGTTGACTCACTTGCTAAATCAAATATGGTCCAAAARGCTAGTTATCACTTCAATTGTCCTAAAGGTGTATTTTGTCATCTTTCGTATTCTTTGTTCTCTCTGGATTATAACTCTTATTTTTTGTATTACACGCTGGCAACTACCACAGGTGGTAAGGATTTAGGCTTTGTTCCAAATAACACAGAGACAAAAAAACCTGTTTTATCTCTTGTTGAACTTCTAAGCTTGTCGTATTTTGTGTTTTTCTGCCACATACATTTTTTGTTACCTCCGATCAGCCATGGAAGGAAAAGGACTGAGATGCAATATTGCTTTGAATGTTGGCCACAAAGGCTTGAAGACATTATAAAATTGATATCTTATTGTCCTGGTCTTCCATGGTACCGMCCTGGTCGGTTGTTCTATTTTTCTGATTCTCTTTTAAGTGTGGCTGCTTGCAAAGCCTACATATTACTTTATACTTTTTCTCATTTCTGTGTGTCTGTAAAGGGGTGTTTGTTTGTAGCTCTGGGTTACCTCCATGCGTGTTTGCCTTGCTTTCATCATCGCATGGTTCTCTCTCTCTCTCTCTCTCTCTTCTCAGTCGAGGTTTCACGATGCTGCTTTTCCACATTTAGTTGAATTGCTGCCTCTAATGGTCACATAATAGCTGCTTTGGCACATTGGTTTTATTGTAAACTCATGTAGCTCACATGTGCATGYTATTTTCAGATGTGGGAGATGAGTGCAAACTCGATTTCTTGCTCCTAAACCAGATTTTCCGAGATTTTTGTGCTTGGAGTGTGACGAAATTATAATCCCGTTAACGTTTGCCTGCCATCACAGCTTTCCAAAAAAAAAAAATAAAGGAATTTAGCACACAAAAAAAGAAAGAACCTCGTGGCTGCCTGCATGCTTTATGAGGGTATTTGTGAAGTAGACGGGGAGTTTGTTGCATGTTMAAAGTGGTTTTATCTCTGTGTTTGAACCGTAGTCCCAGGAGGAGGTGTGTGACCTGCTCCATGCCGCCCCCTTCCAGAACATTCTGCCCAGAGTCTACATCAAAGGTAGACAGAACCTCGGATCGCTCTTTCCTTCAGAACTTTGCAGATTTTTGAGGAAACATTTTCTGGTTTAAAAATGGAGGCATTTGTTTAGAGTTTCCGATAGTCTGCGTTTTGTGTGTTGCACAGAGGGAGAGCGTCTGGAGGTGAGGATGAAGAGGCTGGAAGCAAAGTACGCCCCTCTTCACCTCGTGCCTCTGATCGAGAGGTTGGGAACCCCACAAGTGAGTTAAACTCGCTTCTATCTGCAAAAATGCTAACAGGCTTAAWCTGTTGCTTCTTGTTTATGGTGTATTTTGTGAACATTTGCGTAAAATACAAACCTTTTTTTTTGTTTAGAAAAAAAACCTTGCTATTTTTTTTTTGTAGCAAATTGCCATTGCCCGGGAGGGGGACCTGCTGACCAAAGAGCGTCTGTGCTGCGGCCTTTCCATGTTTGAGGTCATTCTAACACGCATCCGCAGCTTCCTGCAYGACGGGGTGTGGCGTGGACCTCCGCCCACTAACGGGGTGATGCACGTTGACGAGTGCATGGAGTTCCACCGCCTGTGGAGCGCCATGCAGTTTGTCTACTGCATTCCTGTAGGAACACACGAGTTCACAGCAGAGTAAGTTAAAAAAACAACAACAAAACTTTCTGTTTCTGCTGACTGAAGCAACTTGTGCTTCGAAATTTCCATGGAGATGTTGCTGAAATATTTCATGATATTTAATGTGAAATTTGATCTTGAAAGCTTAAAAAAAGAAGTGAAGTGTTCTCTCTCGGTACTGGAGATTTTTATTTCTTATAAGTGGATCTGTTTCTTTGAAAACACTTCAAGAAAAAAATGCTAAGAAGTGTTGAAATGTTTTTACTCTCGTGGTTATGTGAAAATGAATCCCATCATTAGACATAAAAAATAACTAAATGCCAAGCTTTGAAGAAATATTRTCCCCTCACTGCCTCTTATGTCAAAGTTTTAAACTAAGATCATTTCTCCATGTTGAAAAATAGCCAAGTTATTGCTGTTGGGGCAAATCTGTGCAATATYTTAGCACTTGGGATGTGTTTTTATGGATGCCTCTCAGCTTTTTCCACACTAAACTTGAATTCAGTATTAGGGGTGTCCTGATACCAGTTCTTCAGTTTGGGTACTTGCCGATATCAAGTACCGATACTGAGTACTTCTTAGTTAGTATTTAAAAATTGCACAATAGTTTCAAAAACACATTTTTATTTGGAARAAGGTGGCTCTCCTTCCTTATATGCCTGCAGTCTCTCTGACTGGATCATATCAAATATATGGCATGATACTTMTATAAGTGTTTTAAACAMGGAACTGACAAARCTTTCACTTAAAACTTAAAATGTAACACATTCAATGGAGTATCAATACTACTACCCCAATATTGATACTGGTATTAATTTTGCCTAAGAGTAGGGTTTGTCAATATCGTCAAGAAAATTAATCACYATTAATTGTACTATTTAGCCGATAACGATAAATATGACGATCCCCTGGACGCCCTCATATCCTAGTCACATGACCAATTTAAATCTCTRTAGTAGGAAAGATTTGCTCTCTGTAAAAATCTGTTCCAAARTGTGTCAAAAGTACAGACTTTAGGCTATACTTCAAGTTTTAAATTGTGTTGATAGACCAAGTAAAACCAGAGTTATGATAAATAAATTACAGAACGTTTTATTAGAAATGTTGGTCATATTTGAAGCGGAGAGGTGCACCGATCAGACTGACCGGGGAAATCTCAAGTCAGTCTGCCTGGTGATATTAATCGGATTAATTGTCAAGTGCCAAAAAATAATCGATTAAGGTTTTTCTGATGATTAATTGCAGCTGATATGATTTTGCCCAACCCTGGTAATGAGGCATTTTTGTATTTGTAAAAATGCCACCACTATTCACTATCTGTATAATCAATTTCAGTTGGTGAAACCCATTGACTCAAACAATGAGAAAACCAAAAAGATATTCTCCAAATCTTCCTTTTTTAAGAAGATGTTCTAACAAACTCCATGACCATCTTTGCTTTCATAAGCACAACAACCTCTCCAAAGATTGTTGAAATAAGTCCAAATTCAGGAATCGTCCTTAAAGATCATCCAGGTTTTCTCATCACCTATTTCACAAGTTAAAACCATTTTTATGTTTTCCAACATCGCTCACCTGTGTCTGTCTAGAAGTTATTCAGTTATAAGTGAGCAGCGCTCACACACACACGGTTGTTCTTCTATCCTTATGGGGACTTTGCATTGACTTTCATTAATTTACCAGGATTTTCTAAAGCCCATCTGACCCTAAATCTAGTCTAAACTTTATTTACCCCATGATGTGGGCCAGGCTTTTGTCCCCATAAGAAACAGCGGGTCCTCACCAGGCTGTGTGTACCGGGGAAATAGTCAAAAATCATCCCCACCAGGCAGCAAAAACAAGTAGACACACATCCTCCCCCCTTCAGTCAGGAACATTGGGCCTCATGCAAGAACCGTTCGTACGCACAGATTTGTTCTTAAGTTGTGCGTACGAGTGATTTAGGAG